CCCCAACAACATATATATATATATATTCCCCAAGTCTTGGTTCAAATTACTTTCTTCTGAAACTGAAAGAAAGAGCAAAGCAGCAATTTTTTTTTTCCCTCAGTAGCTCCAAGATGAAACTTCCAGCCAAAATCTTAAATGCTCCATCATCACCCTAGTCAACTATTTATTTCCCCTTGATAATCACCTACTTATACCCCAAACAAGAAACGGTATCTTAAGTTCTGTGTGTGTCTCAGTTTTTCAGGTGATGAGGTTATAGAGCACATGAATCCAGGATTTCCATAATCCAAGCACTGGATGAAGGCTGAGTGCCTGCAGTCCTGAAGGGCTGACACCTCTGGATTTGTGCCCAAGCCCGTGAAGGGTAAGACCTGTAGAAGCTACAGGGTTAAACAGGATGATGTCTGTTTTCACAGGGAGCTGGGCATGCTGATACTTGATACTAACTTGGTAACTGTGAGCAGCCACAATTCTGGCTGAGATGGTAAAACGCAGGCCACAGCCCAACGAAGGCAATTAGCTGCTAAACCCAAGTATTAGGATCAAAACACTAACACTTCCCACAGACTGACTTACGTAGGAGCATATCCAAGTACTTTTTTCTGTGTTTGAACAAGAGGTGTAAGCTGGAAGAGGCCTTAGACTGCAGGGCTCTCCAAGCTGCACGCGCTGTTGGGGCAGACGTGGCTGCTGGCAGGGTATCAGGACACTTTGTTCCGCAGAGATTGTCCAGGGGGTTTTGTTTTGCTCCTAATTGTCTCTATAGAGAAGGGACAGGCTCTGCAGAGAGGCTTTAACACAGCATCTCTGTTGCCTATTAATTCCCAAGATCTTGCTAACTAGCTTTGTTTCCTCTTGCGAGCCGGGCGCTCCCTTTTGCCAGAGCAGGAAGGTTGTCACTTGGTTAAAGCCAGCCTTTCCCTTCCAGTGCAGACAACACCATCCCTTTATTGGCTGGAGAAGGAGATAACAGGCCTTAATCTTCCCAGTAACACGTGAGTTTTCATGTACCACTTTTTAATCTGCCAAACAACTCGGGGGCCGAGTGTTACCGTCACATGCCGATTTTACTTTTCTATGAGGCAGTGACTCCCGGCTCAATGATGGATTGTTTGCTGGCTTTTCACAACGGGCAAGATGCTGAATGCCCTGGGGTGACAGACACTGTGCAATGGGAACGGCAGCAAAGCTGATGGCCCAGTTCAAGTTCACCTGACAAAGCTGGAGCAGCATTCGAGAAAGGATTATTCACACTAGCATTATATTTTTGAATGCATTTTTTCTTCCTGCGCAGCTGCCCAGCTCCCTGACACTGAAGGTTTATGCACCATAATAAAGAGATTTAATTTTTTTCTTCTTCTCCTCCTCTTTTTTCCTCTTCTTTTCTCTCTTTACACCTAGTTCTAAATCAGCCAGTGCAGGGGTAGGGCATCTTTCCAAACAACTCGGCACAAACATCACCTAGAAGACAACAGGATTGCTAAAAAGCAGAGACAAAAGCCTAAAAATCTCTGCTGGCTGCAGGAACAAAAGCGGATGGTTTTGTTAAAGAGAACTCCCTGTTGGGGTCTCATCTCTTTTTTTTTTTTGTAAGTTTGATGCTGTGTTCTCTTTCATATCAGGAAAATCTCCCCAGACAAACGATCCCAGCCTTTGAGCTCGGGGGTGGTGGGACATCAGGGCTTTGGAGGACAGGAGGAGAATTGGAAATGAAGGCAGCTTTGCACTGCTGGTGGAGCAGCAAAGCTGCCCACCATCTTCCAAGTTAAGAAATCTAGGATACGTGTGGGAATCCACAGGCATATATGTGTGCACACACATATTCTGGAGGTGCTGGAAAGTTAAAATGTAGGGCTCGTCATCGCTTCTTTTGGCTGGAGAGGCTGCAACAAATGTTAGCTCCAGTCCTGTGTGTCATTCCAGTCGTATGTAGCACTGTAACATGTTGCTTAAACTTCCCCAACAGCAGCTTTTCTGCCTGCTGGTAAGCCTAGTAACACCAGGAAAGATGTGTGGGAAGAAGATCAGTTTCTTTCTCCTGTGGCACAGAAAACCCACTGCAACCTGTAGATACAAAGATGCGCTCTCTGCTTTGAAGTAAAACCTGGGATGCATCCCTGACAGAGGCTGAAGCAAGAATCCTGCTGGAAGCCCAGGGGAAACCAAGGTTAAAGCCCTCTGAGGTCCTGGCCAGGTACCTCATTAAAAACCTGGTCACAGCAGATGTGAAATGGACAGTTGAACTTTTTTTTTGGACAAAACACATTAGTCAGCATATTTGATAACGCTTCTTTCATCGTAGTCTGAGTTTGGGTGATATTGCCCATATGTTTCATTCTATTATTATTTTTTTATTTCAACCAGACACTCCAGCTGGCTTAACTCAGCACTGAAGGGGCTCAGCATTTTGTGTGAGGAGTTCCCATCCTCTCTTTTTTGTGGCTGTTTTTCCCTTCAGCGTGCTCATCATCTGAATGTGCCAGCAGGTTTGACTCCTTTCAGCTAAGCAGCCTGTGCAGGAAGAAAAATACTTCATCTGTTCATCTAGAATTCACAGAGTTGAGAGGGCATTGCTCTCCTCTCTGCTTCTGAAATTTACCCTGACAGAGTAACTCTGTCCCTTGGGTCTCCTGGAGGTGGGTGAGTGATGATGAGTATGTGAACTGCTGTAGGTGTTGAAGGTGTCTTGGGTCTCCTGGAGGTGGGCGAGTGATGATCAGTATGTGAACTGCTGTAGGTGTTGAAGGTGTCTTGGGTCTCCTGGAGGTGGGCGAGTGATGATCAGTATGTGAACTGCTGTAGGTGTTGAAGGTGTCTTGGGTCTCCTGGAGGTGGGCGAGTGATGATCAGTATGTGAACTGCTGTAGGTGTTGAAGGTGTCTTGGGTCTCCTGGAGGTGGGCGAGTGATGATCAGTATGTGAACTGCTGTAGGTGTTGAAGGTGTCTTGGGTCTCCTGGAGGTGGGCGAGTGATGATCAGTATGTGAACTGCTGTAGGTGTTGAAGGTGTCTTGGGTCTCCTGGAGGTGGGCGAGTGATGATCAGTATGTGAACTGCTGTAGGTGTTGAAGGTGTCTTGGGTCTCCTGGAGGTGGGCGAGTGATGATCAGTATGTGAACTGCTGTAGGTGTTGAAGGTGTCTTGGGTCTCCTGGAGGTGGGCGAGTGATGATCAGTATGTGAACTGCTGTAGGTGTTGAAGGTGTCTTGGGTCTCCTGGAGGTGGGCGAGTGATGATCAGTATGTGAACTGCTGTAGGTGTTGAAGGTGTCTTGGGTCTCCTGGAGGTGGGCGAGTGATGATCAGTATGTGAACTGCTGTAGGTGTTGAAGGTGTCTTGGGTCTCCTGGTCCCCATCCTCTCTTTTTTGTGGCTGTTTTTCCCTTCAGCGTGCTCATCATCTGAATGTGCCAGCAGGTTTGACTCCTTTCAGCTAAGCAGCCTGTGCAGGAAGAAAAATACTTCATCTGTTCATCTAGAATTCACAGAGTTGAGAGGGCATTGCTCTCCTCTCTGCTTCTGAAATTTACCCTGACAGAGTAACTCTGTCCCTTGGGTCTCCTGGAGGTGGGTGAGTGATGATCAGTATGTGAACTGCTGTAGGTGTTGAAGGTGTCTTGGGTCTCCTGGAGGTGGGCGAGTGATGATCAGTATGTGAACTGCTGTAGGTGTTGAAGGAGGTCCTGTGAATGAATTGCAAGCTTTAGTTTTAAAAAAAAACAACAAACCAACAAATCAACAAAAAAAACCACCACCGACAAAAAAACAACCCACAAAAGACTGTTTCACAACAAGTAAAATCTTGCAGCTGCCTCTTAACCCAGGCAGGCATTGCTGAAGCATGTGGCCAGCATACATGCCACAGGCTGTTCAGTCCTGGTGTTAAAAATCAGGGGCTCTCTGAGGATGCACAATAACAGCCACAAACAGTAACAAAAACACTGCTGAAATGTTGGGAGGTCAAGGGCTGAGTTGCAGCTGTGTGCACGTGTGATAGTCAAGTGTGTTCCCAGCACAGGCTGAGTTGTCAAGAAACCCCCCCGTCTTGTAGGCACAAATTTAGTCTCTGGCTGTGTGAGAGGAACAGGGTCAGCGTGTGGGCAGGGTGCAAATGTATCACTTAAATATTATTGGGCACCTACATAAATGTACTTTGTGGGATGTGCCAGAAAAGCAGCCAGGCAGGAGGACAGAGCCTGAAAAGGAAGGGGTGTTTTGCCTGCCTCGTTGGAACCCAAACCAGGGCTGCTCCACCGTACAAGCAGCTGCCCTCATCTCCAGTGAGGTATTTGTGGGAATTCATTACAGGATTGGTCACCAAATCTGTAGCAGTCCTAAATTATTCATGTAAAGCACCTCTTGGTTCAAGAACACATTTTTTTTCCTTGCAAAGCAGAGGAGTTTTGTTGGCTGATACAGTTAAAACCGTATTTCCACCTGTTTAGATGCTGTGTGGTCACACACACACACACACACACAGACACACACACCTGTTTGAATGAAATGTTGTTATTTTTGAAGCAAACCCCCACGTGACCATTTTTTTCCCCTGAAGCATCTAAGCAAGTTTTTGAAAATCTTACAGATGGTTGAAACACAACTCTCTGCTTCTGTCTCATATCCCATTTCCAACAAGCAGATGGTGCCTATTGTCCTTGCTAGGTCTGGATGGGTTAGAAGTTTATACAGTCCCATAATACACCTCTGGCTGAATTTGGAGGGTTGTTTTCTCACTCTTCTTATGTTTTGTTGTTAATTCTTACAGATGGCTGTAATAAAATGAGGTTCAGATGGCACCCAGGATGGTAATGTGGTGTTACCAGCCTGGATGGAAAGAGTAGGACTTGCCAAACTCATGCAGGTAACGACTGACCCGACTCACACGGGTATCATCTCAGTGGCTCTGTTGTCACAGAGATGATGTGTTCCCAAAGGTGTGTGGGACAAAAACACTGCCCAGTTTGTGGGTCATTCTTTCTGTGGCTGTCTCGTGCGGGGCTACATTGGCAGCTCTGCTGAAGGTCTTGTTAAGGAAAGGCAGCGACAGATTTCATTGCACTCCACGTGTTGATGGTTAAAGAAGTAATAAATTCCTTTCTTCCCAAAGTTGGAGCGGGAATCATCTTTGCTATTAAGAGAATGAATCTGGGGGTCTGTGAGGTAGATGAGGCCTTTCCCGTTACCCGTCACCCAACCTGTGGAAGAAAGGATACATCTTGGTACCCAACATCACAGCCTTTATGTTATCTGCTCAGGACTGTCTGCTTGGTACAGCCCCTGCTCTGTCAGTGTCACTCCAGTGACTCCCAGTCACCTAGGTCAGCAAAAGCAGAACCCTGAGAGGTACATAATGAATATTTAATTAAATTAATATCCCAAAGATATCTGTGTGCTGAAGCTGGAGCCTGAAAGGTTTTATCCTTGGCTCTTGACCAAAGAGCTCAACTCTCCGTTAGCAGAATAGGAGATCACTTTTTAGGCTTGCCAGCTTTAGGAATGAAGAAGCGTGACAAAAGCCACAGCCTCTTGTAGTGGTTCTCCTTTAGAAGGTCCCACAAGACAGGTCTTTGCAGGCTGGCTTCAGTCTAACTGGATGGAGATCACTCCATGGCATGAGGCTGTAGCACACATGACAGCACGCAGCTTACATGCTCCTGCTGTGATGCAGTACAGGACAAGAGCATGACCCAAAGTAAAACCTACCCATACCTCCTCCACCCTAGGTCCTTTAGAGACAGAACCTCTGTTTTCTAGCATGTTCTGCAACACGAGGGACACGCAAGAAAGGACATTCACTGCCACACAGACCCCTCTTGTAGTGGTTCTCCTTTAGAAGGTCCCACAAGACAGGTCTTTGCAGGCTGGCTTCAGTCTAACTGGATGGAGATCACTCCATGGCATGAGGCTGTAGCACACATGACAGCACGCAGCTTACATGCTCCTGCTGCGATGCAGTATAGGACAAGAGCATGACCCAAAGTAAAATCTACCCATACCTCCTCCACCCTAGGCCCTTTAGAGACAGAACATCTGTTTTACAGCATGTTCTGCAACACGAGGGACACGCAAGAAAGGACATTCACTGCCACACAGACCTTGCAGATCAACGACAACATCTGTTCCACCGGAGAACTCGTAGGAGAAATGGCCGTAGGCCAGGCCATACTCTGTGGCTTTGTACTCATTCTTTACTACCTTAGTGTTGTTGGACAGCTTCACAAACTCCCCGAGGATGTAGGGCTCCACGCTTACGCATCCTTTTATGGTTCTGTCCTCCAGGATCTGAGAAGAGAGTCTTAATGACCATCATGCGAGCAGAGAGGAAATGATGCGTCATGCAGAAAAGGCCTCAGAGTTGTCCTGCAGCAAACTGACTTGTCTGCAAGAACCTCACTGGCTGGGTTCTCATGAGGCTGGGCGATTTTTTTAGTGCTCAAAATGGGTCACTTGGCTGTTCAGATTTTATAACTATCCCTGAAAACAGATGTTCATATACTGTTACATGATATAAAAGGCTCAGTAACTCCAGGGCTCCATTTATGAGTGAGTTTCTGAGTTCTAAGGGGTGGCTTTCAGTTGCAAATCAAAATTGACTTAAGATACTCTTCCCACCAGTCCCTTTGTATTGCTTAGAAGACAAGTTCTTACCAGGAGCACTGCAGATGGGATATAAAAGATTTGGGTAGGGAGCTTTTGCTCGTACAGCCTTTTGTTGAATTCTGTTACGTAGTACTGGGCAGTCATTTGCCGTTCCACGTCACTGAAATGATGGAGAAGTCCTTTTTCTTCTTTATATTCCTTCCCAACATACCTGAACCAAAAGAGAGGTGTTCAGCAGAGCAGACTGCATGTGGGAAGCCCCACTTGTGATACAGAAACATCATCACAAAGCAAAGCTTGGCTGTTCAGAAGCAAAGCCAGCTGGTTAGGGTTCGTTTAAAATGGCAGTGGCTAAAGTTGTAGCTTTGTTGGTTTTTTTTCTTCTTATATAGCTCTTAAAAGCATGAAATGCTGTACTGATCCTACTGTACTGATCCTGCTGTACTGATCCATCAAATCCTAGGATGGGGGTTTTATAACACCAGGATGTTTAAAGTCAACTCTCCTTGGCTCCAGAGGGAGACCTGACTCAGAGGTACTTCAAATACTTTTCTTAACCCATAATAATTCATTAGCTAATTCTAATAACAACCCCAAATCTACAATTAGTAGTAAGCAGAACTCTCCTTGTGCAGAGGCCTCTATGAAGCAAATGGGTGATTTTAATCCTGCTTTCAGCACAGATACATCGATCGCATAAACCTGCTGCTAAAATGAAAGCAACAGAAACACCTCTCTGCCTATAGATACTGTGATATATTTATAGCCATATTGCTAATTCTCTAAGAAATAAAAATAAACAGAAAGGAAGCAACATTTAAGCTCCTGTGAGAGGACATGGACAAAGGTGAAGTCAGGCCTAAGAGTTGTCATGAGCAAAATGAACACCAACATGGCTGTTAGAAGACAAAAGTGAATTAGCTGTTTCTTCCCAGAAATTAAAAAGCAGAGAGTTACATGGAGGGATGGGAAAGACTGCCAAAATCCCCATGAAATTTGGGAAAGCTGTAAAACATTCTTGCTACAGAAAATGAGTCAAAATCTAACCAAATGTAAACTAGGTCTGAACAGACTAAAGAAACAATATTTTCCACTGTGATTTCTGTAGTTGTTCAAGTAAAAACTTGTACTGTCCTCTGAAAATACCTGATAAAAGCTACGGTTTACAAAGGCACAAGACTAGCTGCATTATTGGTATAAGACTAATCTTATCAGGCAGTTTCAAGTCAATACTACAGAGAAGTAGCATTGATAAACATTTTGTTTCAGAAGTTGGTTTGGTCAATACCTTCCCAGGCTTTCCTCTTGGTGCAGGAAGTGTATCCAAAATGCGTTTCTCTGTTTGCCTTCCTTTGCCACATTCAGGTAGCCCCCAATGAACACAGCTGTCTCCTGGCCTGTCCAGAGCCCTGATTTCTTGGAGTATTTCAGAAGAAGAGCAGCTACACAAAGAGAAGACCATGAGTAGAATGGACAATTCCACAGGACTGCTCTAAGCCTGTGCTGAGGAATGAAAGAGCCAGCACCCAGCAGAGAAGGTATCCTAGCTCCTTTGGAAGCAAAGTCCAGGGCTATAAAAGATATGCTAAGAGGTATGGAGGTGCAGAGATGGATATTTTGCATTAATGACAAAAAAATTGCTAAACAGGCTAGAGACACTTGAGATGGGGTAAGTCCTAAGTGGGTTTTACTTAAGGAGCTCAATGAGGCAGCCTATAGGCGTGTTGCTCTTAGCTTCTGTATTTCTGAATATATTGATCAAGTGTCTGCATATTAAGGTAGGCTGTTACTTATGATTAACTTAACAATCTTTGTCTTAAATGCACAGTTTGCAGGGATGAAATGTGGCATGTAAATGGGTGACAAAACCAGAGACTCAGGTGATGGGGCTTGATGAACTGGCACAGGGAGCTCAAGCAGCCTCGGTGACCTCTTGCATGAAGGGACTGAAGCAGGAGGGACTGAGTGGGCATGCAGATGGAGCCCATTTCCATGAGAAAATGGGTAAGAAGGAATAGAAGAACACGGTTCAAGGGAGTGCTCTTCCATTGCTAAAATTCTTATACAAAACCTCATAAACTAACAACAACAACAAAAAAAGGGCTAATAAGTTATGACTAAAACATTGTGTTAAAAAAGCCTGAGTCAGGACTGTTCTCTGTGGGGAAACTCACAGTATGTTTTACGAAGAAGCTGTTTAGACTTAAAAATTCCAGTAGGCCTCAGTCTCTGGACGAGCCAATTATGTTCTACCCCTGCAAGAAGCTGCACATAATCCTCATCCCTCAGAAATCGAGCATCAAGGGTTTCCTCCTCCGTTCTCCCAGGCGTGAAGATAAGGCCCCTTCCCCCTGGGTTCAGAAACAGACCTTCAGGGGAGTTCTTGGGCATCTGTGCTGATCTACACCATGAGCTCAGAGATGAACTGGATTGTCTCTTGCTGCTCACCACGTCCTGAGCCTTTTCTTCATCTTCTTCAGTAGTGGCACAGTCAAAATGCTCAGTCTTGGAGATCTTCCCCCCTGAGGGCAAAGCTGTTGGTGCAGGGGGAGCTGACTGATGCTCTGGGACAGATGCTGTAGGATAATGGTTCACTAAATCTCCAACACTGATGAAATCAAACTCAGTGTCATCACTTGTTTCTGCTTGAGTGTCCACTTCAGGCACTTGGACAGACCTTTTTGCCACCACGGCAGGTTTCCTCAGCTGGTCACATGTGGAGGAGTCACTGGCCATTTTTGGCTTGATGCTGGTTGACAGCACAGAAGCATCCCCACCTGCGGGGGTCTCCTCTGTGCTCTCTGCAGGTTCACCTCCTAGGCTGACCCACACAAAATGGCTCAGGGGATCCCTGCTACTGTCCTTGTTCCCATAGCCCAGCTCCACCTGGGAGGAGGACTTATCCTCTTTGTGCCTGGTAGGAACAGAGTAACGTAGGGAGGGGGAAGGATTCACCTTGTTCACTTCCCCTGCTTTTTTTTCTGAAGAACTCTCTCCATTTTTTCTTTCCTCCTGCAGATCTTCTCTACAAAGAGATGCATTGTCTACCAGCCTCCCAGCTAGAGGCATACTGATGGATGGCTGAGGAGGTCTCCAAGAGCTATGCAAAGGCTTTTGAGGAGGTGGAGGCCAAGCTCTGGGAGGTAATGAGTGCAAGTGTGCAGCCTGACTGTTTTCAGCAGATTCTGTTGTGCAACACTGCTCCTCCACTGAGCCCTTCCCCTGCTGCTGCCCTTCCCTGGGACTCTCTTTGCCACTCTTACAGTTTAGTTCCTCCCAGCTGGAAGAGGAGCTTGATTTGGAAAGCTTGCACCAAGAGCCTTCTGAAGTAGTGGTCTGACTCCTGTTTTGCCACCTGCTGAAAGCACTGTTCACATCATTTATTTCTAATGGCTCAATCTCCTCATCACAGGAAATTTTCATTGCAACAGAGCTGATGGATTTATCTCTTTGGCTCCTGAGTCTCTCTGAGCTACTTCCTCCTGTTGGTGAGTCCAGCATTTTGGCAGCACCTCTCCTCTGGCAGGCTCGTTCTTCAGTAGGACACACGGTGTCCACGGTTTTGGTCTCTGTCCTTAGGGTTGTGACACAAGCTCCCACCTGGCTTTCTCCTGGTGCAGTTTTATGGATCCTGCAGGTGTTTTCAAACACTTTGCACACGGACAGATGATGCTGGGAATGCATGGCAAGGATTTTTTCAAAGTCAACTTCCCGCTGCAGGATAGGTTTTTCCACTGTGCCTTTGTAACTGTTGGGAACATAAGACCTGGGATCAGAATTAGGGAAGCTTTCTACTTGCAGGTGCTTCTTCACAGAGGTGATCAGAGCCATGATCTCTTTGGCAAGCGTTTCTTTCCCTTCCTCTTCTGTAAACAATCTGCTGTACAAGTGCAGTTTTTCCATGGCTTCTCTACAGAGCTGGGACACCTCATGGAGTTTCTCACTCTCCCCATAGAGCCATCGGTGCACAGTTGTGAGGCAGAAAGCTGCTTTAATAAAACTATGGAGCTCCTGTTTGCTGGTGATGGGACTGTTCCCATCCTTGGTGAGGAGGCCAATCTCAAAGGATTCTTTGGCTTCAGACAGGTAGAACTTCCTCTTCTCTGAGGGACAGTCCCTGGAGTGACTGTAAGACAGCAAACACACCCCACGGATGTTCTGGGAGGGGATGAAAGAGGAATGAAGGAATTTTAAAAAATGGACTTCTGGCATGAGACAAATAAAGTGAGGAAAAAGTAAGTCTCTTTCCCATATACAATTTGAACCAAACATTGGCTCTAACAGCCTCCTGCTGCATTTCCTGAAGGAAATAACCTTGCTCTTTTTCCTTGGAAATACAGCTGTATTTATAGGAGAAGCAGCACTCCCAGATGGGCTTGAGAGCCCATCCTCAGTCTGTGGACAGGTACTGCTTTCTGCCCACCTGTGTATCTTCTGGTTGGCATGCAGAGCAACATACAGCATCATACCCAGGACACAGATGCAATACCAGGTACGATGCAATGTTTGAAAGCCAGATTGGCCCCAGATTGAAAAGCCTGGACTCTTCTCTTACATAAATGACACTTTCAGGAATGAAGACTAATACTTACTACAGCTGTGAGGACAAACAGTGGGGTGTACTGGCTGTAGGTTGCTGCCAGCTTGCAGGCCTCAGCTGCTGATAATAAGCGATGATCGAACTCTTGGAGAAGGCTCTAGAGAAATGAAAAAAAAAGCTAAACAAAGAGGAGGGAAAATCTAATCTCAAAGGTTTTGTTTTCAAAGAGATGGGTCTACCTGGTAAGAAACCCTGTTAGACTGAAGCAAGGCAGCTTGGGATTTGTTTCTTGCATGTTGTAGTTCCCTGAGCTCTCTGAGACCTTCACGTCTTAGTAGAGGACGACATAATATCTTAAACAACTACAAACAGGTCTGTTTCTGTAGGAGCCTTTTTGCTCAAGTTTACCATCAATGTGTCACTTTTTGACCCTATAAGTATTCCATATATTACACAGACACACACAATCTGTAAATACTCTTGATGTTTTCTTTTTTCCTGAAGCAAGGCATTTTTTCCACCCAGGTGCTAATGAAGTTTTACAACAGGAGCAATGGAAGTTCCTTCAGCTCTCTCAGCCCAGGAGAGGAACTGGAGGAAGAAGAAAGTGTGGGTGAATTTGGGACAACAACATCCAGCCCACCTGAAGAAGCTATATGCACAAATACCAAACCAAGTCTTACCAGGTCAATCTCAGCATTTGTTTTAAAGCGTAGATAATCCTTCTCATTCATGGAAGCAAAGATGTCTGCCATAATACCCAAGGAAGTAGCAATTCCCTGAAAGAGAAATGCAAAATTATGATAGTGCTTTTCCCCTTGTGTTTTGAATTTTACTGCTCACCATCAAGCAGGTTCTGTGTAGAACATACTGGGGAAAAAAACCCCAAACAAATAAACAAGATCCAAAGAGAAGCACTGCTAAGAAATTCAATCATCATCTTGGCAGGATTTTATTAATTTTCACTTCCAGGAAGTGTAGCCTGGTGTATATATATGAGTTTCCATGAGCAGCAGCTATCTTGATTACCACTAGCTCTTAAGTTTCAATGTAAACAGCATTGCATTTTCCTTAGCACTGTATTTTCCCAAAGTGCCATTGGTCACAACCAAAGTGAAGTCTTACGGTACCACCAAAACTGCATAAACTCTTTGGTAAACCCTTTTGAAAAAAAAAAAAGACAAAAATTCACCAAACTTCTTTGGTTCTGAGATTGAGGGCAAGCTTTAAGGTATGGCAGAGGAGAGGTGACAAGGTCTGTTTTTGTGGGATATCCTATGCTGGGGTACAGTTACAAAACTTCTTCAAGCATCACCCTAGGACGTGCAAGACTCAGGTTCACATTCCCGTTTAGATACGGACAACATGGTGTGGCTGTTGCTTTATCTACAGTGGGGAGATTAGTGCAGCCAAGTCTCACAATGGTGTTAAAAGAGAGATCTGGTGGTGTTGCAAGGTATTCAGACACTGCAGTGCCAGGGAGCATCCATCACCCACAACTGACAGAGCAGTGCAGCTTGTGAACACTCCAGCAAACAGACATGCTTGGTTACTGGGGAAAAAAATGAGCCTTAGTGCTCATGAACAGATAGATAATAAAATCTGTGGCTGCATTCTGTCCTTGTCAGAGGCATGCATGATACCCTCAGTGATGGTTCACTTCAGCTGATTCTGCTTAATGAAAACTATTACTTCCATTCCCCTGCAGGAAAAAAGGTGTCTCTAAATCTGTGTATGCATGCGGAAACAATGTGCAATACAGACCTGGGCTGGGATATTTGTCCTGCATGTTAACCTTGTGTGAGGTGCATAATTGAAACATTATTGCTAAAAGACTCTTCTGAAGTAAACAAAAGTTAATCTGGAATGATCATTAGATTGGCAAGGATACCCAGAGGGAAAAGGAAATCCTACCTTCTTATCTGGTTGAGGAAGTTTGAAATATCCCACAATTGAAGCCCAAATCAACTCTGCTGCCTCATACCACATCCCTGAAATAAATCAGAAAAATAGTCACTAAGCAGATTAGTGCTACAGATGGCTTTCAATAGTGTAGTTTACATCTCCTTGAGTCGAGAGCCCTCCAAACAGTACAAAACCATAGCATGGCATTTCTTGCTTTGGTGACACCGAACGTTTGTTAGTTTCCTTTAGCTTTTGGCTGTGGATAAACACACCATTTATGCTCATAAAAGACTTCAGCTCAACAGTCGTGGAAGATGAGAGGTCACATCAAAAGCATAAAATGAAGACTGTTGGCCTCAAGTACCAAGTGCTGAATACAGGAGCCCATCATGCTGAAAATGAGGGATTTTCTTGTACTGCTGTGATGTACCTGTGACAAACTCCTTTGGAAAGAAGGGAATTGGGAAGAAACATCAGACGAAATGGAGTAACCCAGAGAAAAAGGGAGCAGCATTTCAGAATGCTCCTCAGCTTCTGGTAAAATTAATAATAAAATGCTAATTTCTAAATGTGTTTGCTTGGTACTTGGCTCTAGGTCCTTGCTGCAAAGAGACGGATGCACAACGGGCATCAGGCAGGTGTTCTACACATGCTAAAACTCTGACCTAGGCCTAACGTACCATTTTCTAAGCTTGACTGCAAAGAAAAAAAGAAAGGTGGGGGAAAGTGTGAGCAGATATTAATAAAAAACCAAAACCAAACCTTACCAAGCTTTTGCAGAATCTGCCCTCTGATTTGTAAGCAGACTGACTGAACGAGGATCCTGTCGCTTTCCTTAGCGTATCGCCAGGTACCTGCAGAAAGGGTGGAAAAACCCAGCAGAGAATGAAAAATGCTGCTGTCATTTCAAGCCTCTGAGGGTAACCTAAATCCCATCCAACTGCTAGGATTGTCCCCATTGAATTCAGCTGGTTTGCACCAGGACTTACAGTCAGATAGATGACAGAGTGGCGGGGCATTAAGGAATAGCTGTCACTCAAGCTGCATGACTATATAGCTGTCTACTTCTATCCCTTTGCTTAAAGCCCTCTTGCATGAAGGCCCTTCTTGGATGAGAATCTCAGTTGCACATGAAACACAAACCAAGAAAATCCAGAGCAGGCTGCTCACGTTTTCTAAGTTTCACAGTTGTAGAGAAACTTGATTGTATTGACTGAATAAACCCTGAAGGCTGAGAAAATGGAGGGCAGATATCAAACCATAATGTGTTGTCTCAAGAAATATAACTAAAGAATAATTATGGATGTGTGTCAATTAGAAATACCACCCCCCTCAGATCTGAAACAAGCCACAAGATCAGCAGTATAGTCAATTAACAGACAGGAAAAAAAACAACCCATAAACATTTTTACCAACAGCATCTACATGCATTGAAGAGTGGTCCCATTTGTACAGTTTAGCACATCTGTTCAGCAACAGAAGATTGTAAGAAGCAGGACTCACTCTCTTTTCTTCTTAACCCCAAAAGATATTAAATAATTGCACTGCAGTCTGCTACAGGTCTAGGATAAAGTAGTCAACAACGTTGCAGTTTCCATAGTTAAACAAAGAATAGTGAAGGGAAGGGAAACGTGATGTAAGGAGTCATTACTGAGGTGAGACTGGCTGTATTTGAAGCTTGTGTGACTGTTGAATTAGTACCAAAAACCCAAGCGAAATAGCAACCAGGAAATTGGAAAAGAAATAATATACATACCTGTTGCTCCATTGTCATTAATAAGGTTGCTGAGGATGTATTCAGCTTTTAGAAGTTTGCCTGATTGAAAATTAAGAAAATTAATATTAAAATGTATCATGTGGCATGAAGTGAACAAAAATATGTCAGTGAAAGCCCCTGGATGTGGCCCTCTTCTTTCCACCACTGTCATTATGACCACACTTAGGACTTTCCAATCAAGTATGCTCTGCAGATGCTACCTCAGGCACAGAAATCTCTTTGGCACAGGCTGTTTAACATACACAACAAATACTGCAAAAAATGCAGATGAGGCAGCAGTTTCTAGCCAGTCACTTGCTTCAGAAAAATCTCATTGAGAAGCTGTATGGTATTTTAACCTGATATATCCCCCCTCTGTTCTGCTTTGGTGAGACCACAATTGGACTAGTGTCCAGTTCTGGAGCTGCCAACACAAGAAGGACATGCAGCTGTTGCAGCAAGTCCAGAGGAGGCCACAAAGATGATCTGAGGGCTGGAGCACCTCCCTTATGAAGACAGGCTGATACGAGTTGGGGTTGTTCAGCCTGGAGAAGAGAAGGCTCCAGGAGAGCTTCCAGCACCTGAAAAGGTTATAGAAAAGTGAAAGAGAAAAAAGAGAGGGATTTTTGTCAAGGGCATGAAGTTACAGGAAAAAGGGGAATGGATTTAAACTGGAAGAGGGTGGATTTAGGTTACACACTAGGAAGAAACTCTTCACTGGGAGGGTGGTGAGACACTGGTACAGGTTGCCCAGGGAAGCTGTGGCTGCCGCATCCCTGGAAGTGTCCAAGGCCAGGCTGACTTGACTTCTCACGTCAGAAACAGCAGCCACAGGCTGTGCTGCCTTCCTGTCACTCTCTACCTCACTTTTAAGAATCATCTTAAGCACAGAATATATAGCTAAAAATATATAGAAAGGATGCAGCTTGCAGCACATGGTGGGGCTTCTGTCTTTCAGCCCCCTGTCACACAGCTCAGGGGTTTTGGCAGATGAGTTGGGGTCATCTGTGGCAGGCTTGATGGGCTGCAGGAGATATCCTGAGGTTTAATCTGATCAGCTTCACTCATGCTGAACTTTGCTTTTTGTCTCAGTTGTCTGGTGGAACTGAAGAAGGCTGCTCCAGCCAGTGAATAGTGGAAGTGTTGGCTGAACTAGCCCACCAGCTGGAGCGTGCCAGTACCTGGACACCGTGGCACTGGGAAGCCCACAGCCACAAATAAAAAAGGCCATGCAGGGAACTTAAGAGATCTCTTTTCTGCCAGTAAAATATTCCCCAGTTGGCTTTTTCAGGGCAGGTTTGTCTGGCTTTGTATTCTTCTCCCCAAAGGGACAGTGGGAAGATACGTCACAAATCTTTCAGGTTTTGCCCACGTTATAGGAATGATGGAATTTTATTATTTTTAAAATCAATTTACCCTCGAGGGGCTGTGAGCTGCATTGTTTGCATAGTCAAGTGGTCCCACTCGAAAAAAAAAGAAAAAGAAAAAAAGCAGCTGAGACAGTGCAGGGAAAATGCTGGGATTCTAATTTACTTTTTAAAGGTCCTTGGTCAGAAGTACAGCAATTCAGATACCCCTGTTTGAAACCAGCAGGGAAGATTTGTTAAGGAACAAAAGCTCCAATTAGTATTTTCCACCCCCTTTCACAATTTTCTCCCCTGCTTTTGGCTCTGAAACCCCTTTATACCAGCCCCTTTGTGCTAGTGAGAGGAGCTGGGAGGGCTCAAGGGGGCTGGGAGTGGGCTGATGTGTTTGAAAAGATGGCACCAGGGCCACGGGCATCCCCAAGCAAGGGACAAAGCGTCTTCTTCAAAGTCAAGTAGCTCCTAATTGGGCTGGAGCTGAGGAAGGAGAGAGCAGTACCTGTGTTGAGGGAGAGGCGAGCCTGGCGGATGAGCACCTGGGGGCTGATGGGCGTGGTGGGCTGGAGCCTGTGGAGACCCTTGGCAACCTGAAGGAGTTTGCTGGAGGCATCAATCCAATACAGGAACCGGTCAATCAGGAACACAATCGCGGCAGCCGTCACACAGTCCTTGACCATGATGGAGGCTTTCAAATACACCTGAAAGGGAGACCAGCACTGTGGGGCAGCCCTGAAGAAGCTCACCTGGCCAAAGCCCAGTGAACTGTCTACAGAAGAGGCTCCACTTCAGGAGCCCTCTCTGCCTACAAACCCTTTGAGAACAGATGGGGACCATCCTTAGTCACTTGCTGCAAGATGGTTACACAGTTTTACAGCAAGTGAAGTGCTGAGCATTGCAAGAAGCAAATATTCACCAGCAATGTAAATGCTGCCTCAAAACTTCTGCTCTCCTTGTCATATGTACATTCCTAGGCATGGAGAAAGTCTTTATGGCAGTGATCAGATAGTATTTATTATAACCTGTAACTATGAATATTCCTGATTGTGGTTTATTTTCTAAGACAGGAAGGTTCCAGCTGTTGATTTTATTTGAGCTGTAGATACCATTCCTGATATTTTTGGAGTACTACTCATTGTTGCTAAGTGTTTGGAACTGCATCATTTTGTGGTCTGTTAATGGATTTAAAACATGGCCAACTTACTACTAGCAGTAATAATAACAACTAGTTCCCATGGTGGACAGGGGCTGGCACTTCTGCCCAGTGGAGCAAGGAGATGCTCCACATGCTGACATCCAGGTGACAGGTTTGTCATGCAGGATGGGGAGGATTGCACCTGGTCATTCCAGTCACCATTTCACTGGAACAGCTGTGTGAAATACAGCCATCAGCTGTAAGGAAGGACCCATCTCTGCAGCTGCAGAGCCTTGTGGGTGTCCTCACCCCTGTGGTCTTCACGGCCACCAGCCATTGAGCTGATGGAGAACCTGGCTTCCTGCTGCCCAGCCTGAACACCTGGGAGCTGGCAATGGTCAAGTACTGCTTTGTGGTGTGGTCAATCACCAGAGGAAAGAAAAAACCATAAAGCATAAAAAGCCTCCTCAGAAAAAGGATGTGTTTCTCATCTCACTCATGTCAGAAAGCAATTCTACTCACGATGGAATGAAACACAGGGGAGGGAGGATCAAGTCCCACAGCACCATCAGAGAATGAGAGACTGCCAGGAAAACACTGTCCAAATTCCCACCAAAACATCAAGTCTGGCAGCTATCTCCTGTTCTTGTCTTAGCATCAGTCTCCTCTCCTTGTGTGCAGGCACAGGCAGAGCCAAAGAGACAGCAATGTCCACAAGCTGCTTAGGACACCACTAAGGCTTTTTTTGGACCCCTCTTTTTTGTTCTCCTTGCTTTTAGCTCAGAGCCCTGCAATCTGACAGCAAGATTTTTGAGCAGCATCCCCATCACGTCTGAGGCGTGCGGGAGAAAGCCCACATCAAACCAGCTTGCAGCACCAATCTGGTGCAAGCATTTGCTGGCTTGTTTGCACTTCAGCGAGGCAGATTTGTATAAATTTCCTTGCCTAAGTTGGATTTTCTAAGAGGATGGCACTTGAAAAGGATTCCTGGAGCTGGGCACGCACAACTCCGCTTGTGCCGGCCAACAATGGAGGAATCCCCCTCTCCAAGCACCTGTAAACTGACACTGCAAACCAGCTATTGGAAATGCTCATCAACAGGCCATATATTTAAGCACAGAGCATCGCCTAATCTAGTTTTTTTTTTTCCTCCCCTTCTTCCTTTAATAGATTGGAGCACAAAAGCCTGAGAGAGGGTGACCTACCGAACAAAAGGGCCTTTGAGTTCCTAGGAAAAGTAGACTTGGAGGAGGATGGAAGGAATCCAAGTGGCCCTATTATTTCCACTTGCACTAATTAGACATTTTTCTGTCAGCTATTGAGCACTGCTGAGAGGCCAAACTCACTGAATTCATTTCTAAAGTGTTTACAGAAGTTTGCATCTGTTTGTGTCTCTTCAGGAGGAAAATAAGCACTTCAATAGCATTGTGGAAAATCTAAACGAAGCATCCTATTCCGAAGGGCTTGGCAGTCTTGGCAGCTGCATAATTTAACTCCCTGCTCAATGCTGAAACCTCTTGTGTCCCTCTCCAAACCCGAACGGACACAAAATGTAGAAAAGTCAAGCCAGGGAGAGAAACTCAGCTATTTAATTTTCTTTTCTTTTTCTTTTTTAAAAAAGGCAGGGCTGCACGCTGTGTGGCAGTGCAGCCACGGTGTCAATCTTTGCAATTACACACACACACACACACACCCCCCAGCCTTGCTCTGAGTGGTACGCTGAGAAATTAATACCCCCTGCTTTCATTCCCTGCCAAACCCGTGTGGCTGGGAAATTCCTCAGCACCCCCAAGCGAACGCACCGGCGCGCCGGGCGCTCACCCAAACCACGCACAAAGACCCTCCCCGTGCCACGCAGGGAGGACACGGGGCAGAGGCTGCTCCCTGTCACCCAGCCCAGATCCAGGGAAAAGCCTTCGTTGACTTCCAGGATGTCACACTCTGCCCTGACGCAGCCAGAAACTCCGCGCGCGCAGCTGGTTCTGCAGAGCAGGCTGGTGCCCTGAACTGATTTACTCACTTTTTTTATCACTTGAAAGCCCATGTAGGCACATCTACAGAGAGAGAGAGAGAGAGAGAGGAAAAGGGCGAGGTACAGGCACACTTTGTTTTCACATCTGTGCCCACGATGTGAAATGCATACGTCTAATTGAGTTTATGACACAAAGGGACAAACCTCGCGCCTGGGAAGTGGAATCAGGTGGTGAGAGAATTAAATTTGCAGCAGATTTCTATACATGGACCATTGGGGAAAATGCAAAACAGTCCTTTAGTGAAGGGTTTTGGGGTTGTTTTTTTTTCCTTGCCTTAATGGCGATGAGTGGGAGGGTGTGTTGTTTGCATGGTTTCCTGCATTAGGGGGTTAGCTCCTCCTCACACCAGGGCTGAAGTTTGGGTCTCAGCTTTGGGTTCAAAGCCACGGCGCCTCCTTTGCAGTGACAATGGGGGCTGCTCCCAAGAGAGGGGAGAAGCTCAGAACCGGGGCCATCTGGCACTAGGACTGGCAGGAGAAGCGTCAAAGGGAAATTATTGGTGCATAGTAAATGAGGATGAGGAGGAGGGGAAGAAAACAGGAGAAAATCTTTATGTGGCAGCTGATGGAAGAGGAATTACAAGCCCAAATAAATGAAATATTGATTTAATCCACTCTCTCTGCCCTCTTTATAAAGCAAAGATCCCAGAGGCAAACCCCCCTGCCAGCCTGCGTGGTTTGCGAAGGTCCCCTTTGGAAAAACGCCTCTGCAAGTGGTAAGCAATCATTTGATTTTCAGAGTCTCCCCACAGTTTTGCAGATGCTCTGGATTTCTGTCTTTGCTTATATCCACCTCTCTCAGTCTTTGCTTCATTCGTAACTGCAACCGAGGTTTAAAATCTAAAACAACAACAGCAAACAACTCAAAAAAAAAGAGCCATCAACAAAGGGTTTCTAATTCTGCGTGCAAGGCAGGAGTTTCAGTGGCATGTGCTTCCAGGTGCTTGAGCTCTCCCCCAAGAGCTGCTCCTAGTTAGCACTCCACTGAACCCTAACAAATTGCCCCGTTTTCTTTCCCCCTCCGCTCGTCCCCTGTCAGATTAAACACAGAGTCACAACACCAATGGATCTGGCTGAAGTCTTTCACCCTTTTTACCCCACGCGCTGCTAGCAAAGCCTGTCTTTCCAAGAGACCAAAGCTGCTGTCACTGCACGGGACTTCTCTATCAACCTCTGCCTTTCAGCTGGCAATCAGAGCCTGCTCGGCAAATAACAAGGAATTAAACCTCCTACCACCTCTGTGATGGGCAGAAGAAAGCATGTCCACAAGGTGCAGACAGATACGCTTGAAACCCGGGATGGTCAAGGGTAAATAGCTGCAGACTGAGGAATAAGCAGCTCCCTCTCTGCTCAGAACAGCAGAGAACCCCATTTAATGCCTTCTGAAGCTGTTAATTAGCTCAAGTTATTCATCCTGAAGGCAATGGAGAGTTGGGTGTTTAATCAAAGGGAGCAGCATTAGGTCCATTATTAGCAGCTCAAAGCACCACAGAACGGGTCAGTTTTTTACAGCCCACCCCATCTTGCTTCACCAAAGTCCAGAGAGAGAGAGAGAGAGAGAGGAAAAGGGCGAGGTACAGGCACACTTTGTTTTCACATCTGTGCCCACGATGTGAAATGCATACGTCTAATTGAGTTTATGACACAAAGGGACAAACCTCGCGCCTGGGAAGTGGAATCAGGTGGTGAGAGAATTAAATTTGCAGCAGATTTCTATACATGGACCATTGGGGAAAATGCAAAACAGTCCTTTAGTGAAGGGTTTTGGGGTTGTTTTTTTTTCCTTGCCTTAATGGCGATGAGTGGGAGGGTGTGTTGTTTGCATGGTTTCCTGCATTAGGGGGTTAGCTCCTCCTCACACCAGGGCTGAAGTTTGGGTCTCAGCTTTGGGTTCAAAGCCACGGCGCCTCCTTTGCAGTGACAATGGGGGCTGCTCCCAAGAGAGGGGAGAAGCTCAGAACCGGGGCCATCTGGCACTAGGACTGGCAGGAGAAGCGTCAAAGGGAAATTATTGGTGCATAGTAAATGAGGATGAGGAGGAGGGGAAGAAAACAGGAGAAAATCTTTATGTGGCAGCTGATGGAAGAGGAATTACAAGCCCAAATAAATGAAATATTGATTTAATCCACTCTCTCTGCCCTCTTTATAAAGCAAAGATCCCAGAGGCAAACCCCCCTGCCAGCCTGCGTGGTTTGCGAAGGTCCCCTTTGGAAAAACGCCTCTGCAAGTGGTAAGCAATCATTTGATTTTCAGAGTCTCCCCACAGTTTTGCAGATGCTCTGGATTTCTGTCTTTGCTTATATCCACCTCTCTCAGTCTTTGCTTCATTCGTAACTGCAACCGAGGTTTAAAATCTAAAACAACAACAGCAAACAACTCAAAAAAAAAGAGCCATCAACAAAGGGTTTCTAATTCTGCGTGCAAGGCAGGAGTTTCAGTGGCATGTGCTTCCAGGTGCTTGAGCTCTCCCCCAAGAGCTGCTCCTAGTTAGCACTCCACTGAACCCTAACAAATTGCCCCGTTTTCTTTCCCCC